CCCCAAAACCCCAAAACCCCAAAACCCCAAAACCCCAAACCATGAGGAGGATACTGAAATTATTGCATATTACTCATCATCAAACTTCTGTCTCTTAGTTCCTTCACCTTCATCAGCCAAATTAGGCTCAAGTCCTCCTTCATCTCCGAAAATCTCATCATCAGCAGGTTTATTTCTCTTAAGCCTATTTTTCTTACTCTTTTTCTCCTTCTTTTTCTTATCTTTCTTCCTTTTCTCCTTCTTGCTCTTCTTTTTCTTATGGGCTTTTTGTAAATCAGCCAGACCTCCTGATCCTAAATTTTCAGCTTCTTCACGTGTGAGGCCTGCTTCTTTAAGCTCTTCCTCGCTTCTCAGTTGTCGTCTCATCAGATCTTCCTGTGCGTTGTAATCTTTATCGCTTTCTTGGTCAGAGCGGGAAATGAAGTCATCGTCTTTCTCTTTCTTCTTCGCTTTCTTTTCTCTTTTAGACTTTTTCTCCTTGAATTTCTCCTCTTCCTTTTTCTTGGCTTCTTCTTCAGCCCATTCCTTCGCAAGCTGCTCATAAATTTTATCTTGTTCTTCAGCCTTGGATTCTCTGGCTTGTTGGAATTCCCGCTTTTTCTGGTTCTCTTCTTCAAGCTTGAGTCTCTCGGCTTCTTCAATTTCTCGGATTTTTCTCTGGTTTTCTTCAAAGATCTTCTTAGCCTTTTGTTCCTGAGCAATGTCGTGCTGGAGATACGGGTTCTTTAGGGTATGAGTGATGAAGAGAACTCTTTCATCAGCGATTTTAAGGATACGAGAATGCGCAGTTTTGTGATGAGCTAGTTTTTCCTCCCTACAATTTGAGGGAAGCAACTTCCTCATCTTTTGTTGCAAGTTGATTATACCGGAGAAAATCTTCTTCGCTAGTTCAAGATTTTGAATTGTCTTTCTGGTCTCCTTTACCTCTCTAAAGTCCTTGTTAAGGATGTCTATTGATTTAGACTGCAGGCATAAGGCAAGGTTGAATCTTGGGATTATGTCATGAGGGTTCCTTTGCACCATTGTTTTTAAGATTTTCTCACATTCATCGTAAGATTTTGAGAGATAATGTAACTTAGCGATCCACGACTCTATTTTGTCATTTCTTCCGTTATAAAATTTTTCTAAAGCTTTTTCATACAATTTTAAGGCATTTGGAATTCTTCCTTGAGATGCAAGGATATGACCAGTGTTGATCATGCTATGGGGGATTTCTGGATGATTCTCTCCGACTACCTTATAAATCTCTACCGCCTCATCAATCATGCCGTACTCTCCAATGATATTACCAACACAGTTGGCTGCATAAGCGTTGGAATCATCATACTCAAGAGCTTTGAGATATTTTCTGAGGGCTTCTCTGAGCTTATCCTCCTGCTTCTTTGGATTATCCCTATATCTACACGAAGAGTTATAGAAGATATTTCCAGTAGAAATATAAGCATAAGCATCCATTGGATTCTTTCCAATAGCATTTCTAAACTCTCTATCTGCCTTCACATATTGCTCATTCTCCATATAGAAGTTACCAAGGACACAGTAAGGTATGACTGGCTTTTTGTCAGGCTGTTGGCTGACAGCTTTCTCACCATACTTGACTGCTTTAGTAGTATCTCCTCTCTGCTTGGCAAGGATTCCAAGTCTAAGATAAGCATCGATATAAGAAGGCTCTTGTTCAATTATTTGCTTGTAAATATTAGTAGCTCTTCCTATTTCTCCAATAGCTTCGTAGTGGCAGGCTTCATTAAAGCTCAATACAAGTGAGATAGATTTGAGCCTAAGATCATCAGGGTTTAATTCCCTTATTGCTTTCAGAGTTCCTCTAGCTTTGTTCAGAGCATTTCTTGCATCCTCAGCTTGCTCAATCTTCATATATAAAACAGCAATGTTGTTATAATATATCGGGTCAATGTAGTCTTCCTCTTTAAGATCCTTGACATCTTTAGATGCTCTAAGGATCTCAAAGTCCTTCTCTAGTAGCTCCATAGCTCTTAAATAGCATGTAAGTGCCTTTCAGTAATCCTTTTGTTCATTAAGATATGCTGAGAGAAGATATGACTCAGTATCATTTCTATCATTCTCCAAAACAGTGTTTAGCAGCTTAACTGCTTCATCACGTTTCATCATCCTTGCCTTAGTTTGGGCAAGAATTTTCATAGTTTCTATATTCAAAGGTTGCTTTTCCTTTTGAATTTCAGTAAGATCCAGAACTTTCTCAAAGTTCTTCTCAGCATCTTTATAATTTCTCAGATGTAGATGCATCGTCCCAAAATAATGTAATGCGATTGGGTTATTTTCCTGTGCACTCACTGCATCTCCATAGAATTTGAATGCTTTCTTGTAATCCTTCTTTGAGTGAAGGATCTTTCCAACTAAAACTAGTAAGTTAGACTTTAGCACTCTAATCTCTTTTTTGGTGTCATTTTTATTCGAAGTGCTGTCGATGATTTCTAGAGCTCTGTTAGCTACATTTTCTGCTCTATCAAGATCTCCTTTCCTCAGAAATATTTCCCCAAGAGATAGAAGAATTCCAGGGTTGTTCTGGTTAGCTTTGAAACTTTTAGCTATATTTTCAAAGTACTCATCCTCATTGGCTGTATCTGTCATGATTAGGCCGATTAAAGCGCCTTGGTTGCTAGGATCTCTTTCAAGTACTTGTTGGTATACCTCTCTAGCTTCCTTCAGAGCTTCAAGATTGTACGACATAAAGGAAGTGCCTGGACTCTATAAAATAACTCTCGTTATATCCAATTTTGTAAGAAATAATTCTCTATGGTCTGCAGACATTATGGTTTGATACATTTTAGAATTTGAAATTCCTAAATTTAGGTGCTTTTAGCACTCCACAAAGCACTAGTTTGAAAGATTTATTGATAAAAGAACCTTATAGAATATAATAATTACCTGTGTTTTGCTTATGAACATTTTATCAGCACCTAAAATTAGTAGTAAAGCTCAAGTATTATATACATTTAGAGGCACCAATGGGTTGATATTGATAACCTTCTTGTAATAACCCAAAGCTTGGTGATATTTCTCCTTATTAAATAAAACACTTGCTTTTCCAAGAAGAGAAGGAATATCATCTTTACTCATACGAATAACATGATCAAATTCTCTTTCAGCTTGAGAGAGTTGTCCAGAGATCAAACTGCAATATCCTCTACTAAAGCTAGTAGAAGTCTCTTGGTATGAAAGCTCAGTTGCCTTATTGATATAGTTATTAGCTTCCATGATTAAGCCATCTCTGTTCTCTTCTCTCTCAGTTTCTGCCTTTTTGAGGTAATATCCAGCCAACTTATTGTAGCAAGAGATCTGACTCTTTTGAGAAACAGAAGATATTTTACTCTGAAATTCTGGCTCCTTATATAAATTGATCCTTGTTCTATACTGTCTGGCAAATTCAACCTGCTCCTTAAGGATCTGGACTAATACAGGGTCTTCCAATGAATTTCCGGGTGGGGTTCTGGACTCTAACTTATGAAACTCAAGGGCTATTTCAGTCCATATCTAAAGAATTTAGCCAAATTAGTGAAATATCTCTTACATCAAAGTACTTCTTGAGGCAATCGAGGCTGTTGGTTTTTGACATCTCATTCTGCAGAATTTTCATTACTTTATTTAAACTCTATATTTGTTAGTTAAAACCCTTTGATGCCCAAAATCTTTAGAATCTGGAAATGAACAATAAGCCAAATTTTCAGATAATTTTTAATTATTTTTAGCAGTTTTAAGCTGTGAAACTTACCAGAAACCTCAATGATTGAGTTAAGATTAATAACTCCTCCATTACCATTGTCAATAGGAATTTTAATATTTCCGAACAAATCTTGTGCGGCTTCCATCTTTTAGTAAATTTACTATATAAATTATAAAATTTCAGTATTTATTGACTTATCAGGGGTTTTGGGGTTTTGGGGTTTTGGGGTTTTGGGG